AGGGAAATGACTGAAAATTGCAAACTTCGCAAGGCTATATTATCCGCATTTTATAACATTTCGCAACCCCCCCCCCCCCCCAATAATTTCCATTTGTATAAGAAAAATGCACAAAAGAACTAGAAAAGTGCGAAAGCAATTCAGATTTATTCTTGGGCCCCCCAATATTGATTTACTTCCGACGATTTCTAGGCTGAGAAATTTAGTCCGCTAGTATTTTGTCAGTTTCTCAACAAAGGGCATTTGATGATTTTGATCATTTAGTCATATGAGGAAACGGCGCTATAGATGTTTTTACACAGACGATCAAACTATTTACACAGACGATCAGTTGGTTACATAAATCATAATTGCGATTACGTGTTGCGGTGAGAGTGTTAGGAGGAGACACGCACGTACCACGTTCTATAAAAAGAAATAAATTCTGAATAATTATGCCATCTATGTGGCAATTTTCAAGGATATTTTGTGATTAATAATCTAATTACTAGGTTTATTTTCTTTATTGATGTAATTTAGTTTCTTACTTTTGATAGAATTTGTATTTAGGGAGAGGACACATTGATAACAGTATTGCTATACTGAAATGATCCCATAGATATCTTATATACACGTCACTAGATAGTGCGTCTAATTATTCTGCAATTCAAAATTGAAGCCGTGATTGCAGACTCAGGATATTCCCATGAAATGAGAAGATTCGTATGTTTTCTATTTTTTAAACAGGGAACTTAACATTAAGTTAAACCTATTCCAAATACATTTTTAAACTATTCAAATGATGAAAGTTGTTGTCATCTATTCAAATGGGGGTAACCGCTGGAATATTCTTGGCTTCAATTTTACTAAAAGAGATGCGCTATCTATTGCATATAAGATATCTATGGTCTATCCTCTGTAAATATTTGTAATAATAATAATGAGAAAAATAAAGGTTGATCCTGCACACGCCATTTTGTGTGTGGGGGCGTGTAGCTCAGAGTCACGTAATTTCAGCGGATAGAGCGTAGTGGGAGTCAAAAATCAGCAAAAGTGCCTCACGTGATAAGAGTGAAGTCGTGGCTTTTCGTGCAGAGACGTGCAGTTAACATATCATGCTGTATAATCAGCTACTCCTACGCTGCGATCATTAATTCTGCAAATGGGCTATATTAAAATATTGAAAAAAGGCAAAATCTCAGACGGTCCATAATAACAGACAGCTCACAGCTACTGTGTTGAAGGACATACAACTATACCTGAAAAATATAACCAAAATTAATCTCGACTTCTTGTACGAATTCCTTCGTGACCAAATCAAGTCAGACGTTGTGAAACAGTCAGAATCAATATTGTCTTTTGTGTCGTGTATGTAAATCAGTCCTTTTTTATTGTATACAGATATCACAGAATAAAGATCAGTAACAGAAGGGCCACTCAGCGGTGCAACGTGTCCTCGTTTTTTTTATGCAAAATATGGCGGAGCAGCCAGCCAGTACAGCGTGTTTATTGGCCAGAAAATGTCATTGACTGGCTAGGAAAATGGCGACCAACATGCGTAATGCGACATATATGCGCGAGGACACGGAAACTTCAAAGCTTCTGACGTAAGTGGCCCTTGTATATGGATCTTTATTCTATGCAGATATATCGACACTTGAATATATCGGCCGTTTAATTTTTAAGACCGTATAGCGAATAAATGAAACCAGACGTAAGACTGTGTAAATCAAACACACAACTTGTGACTTAGTTCACTTGTAGTGTAAATCGGCTTTAAGTTGTGTAAAGAAAGTGTCGGCATCAGGGACGCCGGAGCGGGGGTAGGGCATAGCGGACATTGTTGACGTAAGGGGCAATCACTAATTAATATTCCGTTTCCGAAAAATTTTTCCGGAACCTGAAGCTCCGTTTACACTACGCTCAGTTTTTGGTACGGCACGGATAAAATTGGTACCCGTACCACTTTTTTGGTTCTTGGACTACCTATTTAGGTAGTCCAAGAACAAAAAAAGTGGTACGTACCAAAAATCGAGCGTAGTGTAAACGGGGCTCAAAATATAGGTAG